AACAAAACTGCCTGCCAGCTTTTCCATCAGCGCTGTCATTTCAGCAGAAAGGAACCCTTTCCTTCGGGTTTATCAAGCCCAAAGGAAAGGATTGATGAGGCTCTTAGAAACACTGTGGACATTATTCTCTCACAGCCTTTGTTTCTCAACTGTTTCACAAAAATTTATTGCATATCTTTACAACTTTAAAAGGATTCCAACACTAACTACAACAAAAAAAATCCTCTATTTATTTCAACAGAGGAAGAAGATCTGATTTAGCTTCCAATATACAACAAAACAAAACTCTGAGTTCAATGTTGTTTTAAACGACTTTGCTGTGAAATATTAGTAATTTATTTTCCATTTTTTTTTAGCTTAAGATGATTCACCATGTTTTTCTTCGCCCTAGAGATGAGAAATAGGTGTAAAACGTTTGCTTGCAAATACGACCATGAAAATGTTTCCACAAGGCTGTACAGTACTTAAATAGTTTACTTTAGTGCAGTTTTACTTCGTGTTTCTACATGTTTAAAATTTTTACAACTGAAAGAAGCCAGACGCATTGGAAAGACACATAGAAGAGGAATGTTTCATTTCAAAATGTTGAGGTTTTGAATTCTGTCTTTCCTTCTAATTTATAGGTAATTTCATGTAGATGAATCGTTGCTTTGCATCAGAAATCACATAATTTATTCCATAACTAGTTTTTTTTTTTTTTTTTTTTGCATATTTGGAATCAGTATCAAGTTTTTTTTCACCTTTTTATCCCAAACACTTTCTGTGAATCACTGATGTCACCAACAGTGGTTTCCCATATGACCAAGTCAGGCATAGTTCTGCTTTTTTACTTTTTAATTATAGATTGGATGAAGTAGCAAGCACTCTATAATGCTAACAGTGTTAGCTTAAATGAGTCAAGTTAAGCTAGAACATCTCCTGCAGATTTGAACATGAGCTTCAGCAATGCTGAGACTTCTGTTTTTTTTTAACTCCAGTGTCCATTTTGAATTGGAATTAATGAATTTCTCATTTGTGTCCATCGACTGAATACTGTGAACATGACTAATATATGTGCAAGCATGCTCACCAACTACAAGTATAGATTTATGGATTGACCTTTATTTCTCTGCTGACCACAGATAAGCTGTGAAGCACCAAGTTGTTATAATAGCTCCCTAAAGACATGGAAACCTTTACGTAAAAGCCTGACTCAAAACTCATTCCCTGTCATAATGACATGATCTTATTAGAAACGCCAATCATGTGTCATATTTTCAGCATTATCCTAAAGTAATATAACAAACTCCTCAAATTCAAGGAGAGAAAAACACGGCATCTGCAACTGCAGTTCTCAAATCAGAAGCAAATATATTATCATTTAAAGTATGTTATCAGAATCATAATGCTAAAGAGTTTTTTGACAACAGAAAAAAATAAATAAAACAGCTTTTAATTAATCAAAACAAATTTTAACCAACTGAGTGACTTGTGCGGAAAGCTTACGTCTTCCTTTGAACAAGTGCAGATAAAAGTCAATGAGTTAAAAGACAGGCGACTGGCCCCTCTCTCCTCGCATCGATCCATGTCAGGAGACGGATCAAAAAGATGGAGGCAAACACAAAGAGCTGCCAGCAGAGGAGCCAGATCAATACTGGGATTATGTATTCCTGCTGGAATATTTGTGTTCGACACTGATAATGTTCAGTTTTGATAGAAATATTGGTGTGATCAGACTGGCTTGATGTATATACAAAAAAAGAGCAGAAAATCTCAAGTCGAGTGCTGCTGTAGATCTTATGGGGCACAAAGTGCCTCAGAGATGTTCAATGAAACCCAATTTCCACGCTTCGTTCCAGCGGACAGCTTTTCCCTTAAATTGCATGAAAATGCGGCATAAATATTTAAGACACGGTCATTTCACTACGAGCAGCCTGAAATCCATCAACAGAAATTTCTAAAAGACGCTGCTATTCTGTTTTGACATAATACAAAATAAAAAAAAAGAATCAAAAGTAAGGTGACTGTAATGTGGATCTTCATACGAGGGAACAAGCTGACCTTGTCAAATTATACTGGGCCCCTGACAACTCAGGGGACTTCAGTAGCAAGAGTAAACACTGTCTAGACGAAGAGATGGTGAGAATATGTGCTGCGAATGAACCGAACAGAATGAAAGGTTTCACTGTGGATCATCTATACGTCTTTAAATCTTTTAAATCGAGGGTTATAATAAAAAATGCAGTCTACCCATGATGATATTGGGTTTCTTTATATATAATTTGAAGGACGGAAAACTGGCCGTCCCGTCATAAAGAGAGAAGTTCCAACTACAAAGCACAGCATGAATCAGCGTTATAGTGAACCCAGTAATTTTAACCCAAGAACTGTTCCTAACTAATATTTCAAACAATTTTCAAAAGAACTTCACAGTTTTAGGAAAACATTCCAAAATTATTGTTGCATCTTGTGATGCCTACTTTGACATTGATTAATCCACATTTTCCTCCTTCCTCTTTCAAATTCAAAGGTTTTAAACGTGAACGCATTCAGCTTCAGCTTTTCACTACAAAACTCCTAAGAACGGTTGTGAACAGCGTCCCCTGAGGGCAAAGAGAAGCACTGCTGTGACGACATGCTGAAGGGCGGGGGTCACAGAAAGGCTAGAACCTTCTTAAAGAGACAGGAGCCCTTTCAAGGCATCAGATTCAGCTATGAAGTCAAATTTCTTTTAAACTGTTTTTGATACTCAGCCGTTTCGTAGTATGAAAAAAGCGGCACCATGTGCCTGATGCAAGGCAACAAACTGGTGACATATTACATATTTTATGATGGAATATTTTGTGCATTTTTGCCTCATTCCTTGCTTTGTAGATGTCCAAGTTCAGCATCATCGATTTGGAAACCTGTAGAGGCTCTCCTTTAGGAGATTCTGCAGACTCCCAAGTGAATCAGCTCAATTCATAACACTACATTTATACCAAGAAATTCTCACCTTAAGATAAAAGCCCACTGTTTGCACATTTTATCGATAGTCCCAAGCAGTACAAGGATTAGAAATACACGCAGATATGCACAAACAAACAAACTCAGCAGGCAGCTTCTAACTTGTGAAACCCAGTGTTTGTGGAACCTCTCAATCAATACCTTTTAAGTGTCGGGTAACTCGGGCTCACGATGCAGCACGTCATAACATCGATCTGTGGCTATTGGATTTTTTTGCCATTCCTCCAACCCTCCGCAAATCGAACTTATATTATTTTCACGTATGTCTCCAGAGGAAAGCCTTGCTCTAAACCTCAGGGAGCAACTAAGCACCTGCAACATTCTGGTATGTAAATATAATCAGTCACAAACGCGGTGAAGTGATCAGAGACAGACACTGAACATCAGTAAGCTTATTATCAAGACTGCGATTAAACTAATGAACTCAAAACCACCTTTGGCTACAATAAATAAAAGCAAATTGAGGTTAGGAGGAAGAATTAAAGAAGAGTCCCATGATTCTAAAAAAAAGTATAAATATGAGCAACTTATGACTAAAGCATAAAATTAGTGACACTAAGGAAGGAGCAAACATAATCACATTGCTTTGTGGGATCAGAAACTATTCTGCTTTAGTCTTTAGGTCTGAGTTGAACCCTGTATTCATCAGAGTTCAGAGATTTTCTCTCAGCATCCATGTACAGCTGCACCAGCAACTCCCACCTGTTCTGAAATCAAGATGCTTCTTGCAAAGGCAGCGCAGCAACGACAAAGGTTCTCATCTGTAGATCAGCAGCACAGATCAGTGATCAAAAACCAGCCGCACATAAATGACTGGAATGCCAGCCATCTGCCAGGGACGGGAAGCTGAGGAAGCGATTTTTCAGCACCTGGTGCAGCGTCGACTGAGCGAGGCTGTGTCCTCGGATGATCAAAGTTCCAACTCTGGGAAATTTTGTTCAAACTCAAGAGTCAAAAAGTTGCCCTGGGTAAAATCAGAGAGCTGCACAGCATCCCCATGTGAGCTTTATGAAAAATGATACCGTGAGGCTTGGGAAAATGGGCAACTTCTATAGCATGCATTGCAAATGTAATTCCATTTGCAGTTCTGAAAATGGGTTTAGACTGAAATAAAACTGATATTTGTTTTAATTTTTATTATAATAATGTCCACAACTGCTGATGATTACATCAACAATACAGAAGCTCTGACTACTACTTACTGTAATCCACTCTGAGCTAATATTTGGATTCATTCAAATGTAGTTTGATGCAAAATAATACATTAACTTCGTGTGTAGAAATTAAATTATTGCCAGTATTGACGACTGTGATGAATCTAGAAAAAAAAAATGCATTTTGGAATTGATTTTGAATATTTCGCAGGTATCAAAACTTAACTTAAAGGTTATTTAATTATTTACCATTTTTCTATTTAAATTTTCTGCTAAAAAAATAACTGTCAAATTAAGCAGCATGAAGGAAACAAATGAAAAATGGAATTTCTAAAGTCACAAAAACTCTTTCCAAACAAAACGTCTGGCATTTGGTGGAGTCACCGAATGATAAAATGCGTTCAAAAAGATTTGTGGGAATTCACATCAATATATAAAAAATAAATCCCTTTTGCATTTGCTTTATAATGATGGACCTCATTATGAGGTCACTGAAAGTACAGAATGCTCATTAATATGAAAAACCAAAGCTAATTAAGAGATAATTCAAGAATCATCACCGTCAGCAGGACAAATTGCTTATCAGAAAGTCAGAGGCTGAGTTTGTTTGTGACTCAATAGCTTTCTGACTACGGCTGATTTAGACCAACATCACTCTCAGAAACATTTGTCCTCATTGCACTTTTACATCCTTTCACTTTGGCATCACAGATTTACAACTTTCAGACGTACGGCCTTTTTGCTGGCAGGGCTGACGGATGAGCAGGACCTCCAGAGCCTTATTGGCCGTCAGACTGACGATAACAGGAAGAACCGGGAGACACGACGGTAAAAGAAAGATTACAAGGAACTGGAACATACTTGAAGCCTGGTGCCATGTTGGCGCATGTCCCGGTGCGAAGCCAGATGCAGTAAGGGTCACGAGAGGCCAGGCAGGTTCTGGAGGAAGAGATGAAAAGGAAGATGAGGGGAATTTATTGTTATTTGGGGGTCCAGTGGGCTCCATTTTCTTTTTCCTTCATGATGTTAAATTCACACAAGCTGAGAGTCCTGAATTAAACAATTCAGGACTCCCCATTTTCCCATAGCACTGATCTAATTTCTTCATTATCACACAATAAACCTTTGTTACTTCTCTGTGTGTTTTCATTGATTCACCTCATTCTGCTCATCTACAATGTTTAGATCTGTGAGTCAACACTGAAATCTCAATAGTTTCTAATCGAGCCAATAATGAACAACATGGCAAAAATACAAATTGTGAAAGTCAAATCAAAGCTTAATTATTGCAAATATCCTAGATACAGTTAAAAAAAAACAACCCTGAGAAAATACAGCAAAACATGTAGACCAAGGAAAATATTTTTTGTGTAATTTTGCCAAAACGTATGATCCAAAAAGTATAACTTAAGAACTGAAAAAAAAATCTATTTTAATTTACAATGTAGAAATAAGTTAAGCAAAGTGGAGTCTTTTGGGGATTTAAGATTTAAATCTCACTTGTATTCTGTCTGTTTTGATATGAATAATTGATAATCAGATTTTGTTGCAGTTGTTTGTATACGAACACGACCGACAGAAAAACTTATCTTCTCTTTATTGTGTACATTACAATATCCTACTTTAAAGATAAAAGTTGATGCTTCAAAATGGCCTTTTGACAGTTGTCACAAAATATCTCTACAAGTCAGATAAACAAAGACGTGTTCAAAAACAGACCTGCATCAAGGACACATTGATAATATAACATCCGAGACTCCCTTGCCTTTTGTTTAGAGACAGTGAGCTGTCACACCATCTTTTCATGCGTTTCTGAAACACACAGACAAACACGCTTGTGACAGCAGCTGCCATCAGGTAGCCGTTTCAAATCTAGCAGACCCTCAGTAATGCAAAAAACAGCTGCCAACAACTTGCACGTGTTTACACATCTAGTCTCAAACGCGTTCATCCATTACCAGTCCACTTTTATTCGGGCTCTGCCCATCAATCACGCACAAATGCACAGTGGCACAATTCACAAGCAAAACACAGAGGCGACACGGCGGCCAGCCAAAACAGCAGTGTAAGTATTTACCAGTGCTGTCAAACAGTCACATCGCAAGTCATTCTGAATAAAGAGAGCAAGTCCCAGCAACCACAGGATGAAGTCCAGGCAAAAATGAAGAAAAAAACCTTTGTTTTCAGTAAAAAAACAAGTTCAGGTTCAGGTAAATTAATGATACCGCAAGCAAAAAACAAAAGACATAAAAACTAAGAGACAAGCAATCTGAGTTCTAAAAATGATCAACAATAAAATGTGCCAAAACAACACATCGAAGTCCATACAAGACAGGGAGAGGACCAACAGTGTATATCATCATTAACCAACCATTAAATGAACATTTAATGGTTCAGATCATCAACCTTACAGTTCCAAAGTGGGTCCAACAACAAGAGCTAACCAGTAGGTCAGGTAAATTTATGGTGATAGACACATGATCAATAGTATCAATAACATGAAAGAGTTTTAATTTATTCCACTGAACTGTGATCCAGAGCTGCACAGCATTCTGGGAAATGTAGGCAAAATAAAGGCTTTAGCCACTCAACCGCTCACAGCCAGATCAGCTGGGTTGGTGGCATCAACTCACTCGCTCTTTGGTTACCTCGCAACAACCAGTTGGGTAACTTGCGCAGCAGCGGTTCAAGGTTTTGCCAACGTGCCTCACAGCTGTTTAAAAATAGTAATAACAAAAAAACAAGTTTGACTGTTTCAGATATTTAAAACAAAAAACGATTAAGAATTGATATTGCCCCATATGGAATGCATATATACGTTTTTCAGTCATATTGTTCAGCAAACGTACATTTTCCTCTCGTTTCCACCAGATGTAAAACACTAGGCAACCTTCTTCTGTTGCTCCAGGTACAGTTCTGATGCAAAATGTCTATATTGGTACTTTCGACAATAAAAGGGGTCCCACATGTTCCAGGCTGCATTTCAATTCTCTCAACTGTAGCTGCATTTGGCATGAGATTGTTCTTCCATAAATGTTAATAGGCATCATTTAAGGTTGCTGTAAACCAAATTTACCCCATATATTCTTCATCAACAATTTGATTCATTACTTTGAAAGCAGACTCGTTAGTTTTTCCAAATCTGAATCTCAGTTGGGTGTAAAAATGACAGTGAAACCGTTGTGCGTTTGACTAGCAGCAAAGCGTGCGTGGCTTTGCGTGATGGAGTTCCAGCTGGTGCAAGCCTCTCTTTGCCACTGCAGCTGTTGCCACACCAGACTGGCTGGCTTTCATTCATCCTGCTCAGTGATTAAAATGAGCCTGATTAACACCAATGTGGGTGTGTGCATGTGTGTGTGTGTGCACATGCATCCCTCTAAAGTGATGAATGTGCTCTAATTTGGGCAGTGAGCTCTGTTCTTTTCAGCCTAATGAAGTCTATAAATAAAGTTCTTTAATGTTCATATTTTACGATTCAGATTTCCCCCATTATTACCCCGAATGCACATGTGTTTCTACAATATTTATTATGCTACCAAATTAGGCTTGCCATTTTAATAGTTAAATAGATTTGCAGCTAACAAACTTGAGACTTTGTTAAACTCATTCTTCTCATGTAATTTTTAAAATACATTTTTGATTGAGTGTACTTTTCCTACAATTAAAAATCTGTATGAAGCCATTAGTTTTATTCTTGTTTCCTTACTTTTTACAGGCTCCATGTTGGGTGCAGCGACTAAGTGGTACTCTGATTACACAGCTGGTAAAAGCAACAAACAGTGCATGATGGTCCTTGTCCAACTCCAGTCCCAGAACCCTCCTGTCCTCCTGACCCTGAACATTGCACCTGAGCACACGAATAAACAGAAAACAGAGCATTACTCTGAAACCTGGACACATCGTTCAACGCCAGCGGTAAGGCGGATTAAAAATGAGAGCAGCAATACTTGGAGGGGTTATAAACATCGATGTCCTCCAGGAGTTTGGATCCAAAGCTGTCATTGGGATGCGTGCTAGCCAGAACTTTCAGGACACGGCCGTCGTCTGAGCCCAGGAACATGACTGTTCTGTCCTTAAGGGGACCAGCTGAAACATCCACCACGATCTGGGTCAACTTGGACCTGAAAAAAACACAACAAAAAGAGCTGAAAAATCCAATCTGTGTTGTGTCTCTAAACAAACTCAAATACATCTGAAATTATTAAAAAAGTGCATCTAAAAATTTAACTTTTGTCAATATTTCTTGTGTATTTGGACATTAACAGCTACTATTACAAACTATGATAAAAAAAAAGCAATTCCTGAATTTTCTTTTAACTTACAACGTTCCATCTATATACTTAACTGTTATGACAGGTTGACTACTATATAGTTGCAATAAATTGTTTAATAATACAATAAATCAAACAGTGAAGTGGTTCACAGCTGTTTTTAGAGGAAAATATGACCCAACAAGTTTAACAAGGGGAAAAAGTGACAGATCTGTCCTCATTTGGTCATAATACGCTTCGTACTGACAACATCAGGAAAAGAGCTACTATCAGGAGAAAAGCTGATTTAGGCATCTTATTAAAAAGGCTACAGTGAAATGGCGATTTAAAGCCAAATGTTTAAATCTCAAACTAGTTCCAGCTGCCTTTACATACGTAAAAAGATTGGTTTCACATTGAAACAAGAATCAAATTTCTCTTTATGGTTTAGAAATCTGCATCATCTCTTTCACAAATCATTCAAAACCAATCATTTGATTGATTTCTACTTTACTCTTATCACTTATCCTCATTCTACATAAAACTTGCATCAAAATGAAAACAAATTGAGGCTAACTCCTTACCCAAGTGCTCCGATGGGCTCAGACTGTCGATCTGACTAATGCTACATAAAAGAGTCAGCAGATTTGCGCTACCCTTCGGATATCTGCATCATTATTATCTGGGTCAGCGTGGACCTCTCCAGCAGAGAGGCTAATTCGAACATGGAATTAAGAATCTCATTCTCATTTCAGACTGGTAATTAGGATCCATCAGAAACTCATTTGAAATCTACAGCCGAGATTAAAAAGGTCACAGAATCGCAGAGCTGCAGAGTCGGTGGGAGCCGGAGCAAGAACTTGCTGTGAGCCTGCGTCTAATCACGGCTGATACAGATGATTATCCTCGAGGCTTTAGGTCGGGTAGCGGATTCACTATCCCTCACTGTGGCTGTAATTTTCTAACTTGCCCCTGCTGGGTACACTTTACATCCTCCCCTTTCATTTTGACCTTTAAGATTTCTTTTTTTTTATTGTCCTGGCCTTCCTGGAGCAGGTTTTCTCTGGGTGATTTAAAAAAACACCAAAGCATTTTGCTTGTTGCTGCAGCCTGGCATAGCTGTACTCTCACAGCTACAACAGCACATCTGACAATAATTTAAAGAACAGATTTATTCGTGGATGCCAATTTCTGCCAAAAAACAAGAAGAAAAGGAATGTGAAGGTAAGGGGGATTTTAGGCAGGTGTCATCTGTGGGTGTAAGCCAGTCAACACCTGCTTATCTTGTGAAGCAGACTCCTTCTTTCCCACGATCTGCAGCAGGTGTAACGGTTGCTAAATTTTCTATCTGACAGCGAAAGACAAACTTAACTCTTTCCACCTACATGTGTAACCTGGCTATTGCTGATGATTTGGACCATGCATTACAGGATGAGCACTTTCTAAAGGCCTATAAAGAATGCATTTTACCCAAGCACAGCATGCATGTTTAATCAAACTTCACAGAAGATCTGGAGCAGAACATAATGGTTCCTGTTTCCAAAATGGAGCTCCTTATACTCTGAATGGGTGCTGAGATGTTAAAACAAAACTAGTCTCCTTCATGGCAGAAAACCTAAACCATCTCAGCAAACTTATTGTGACTTCAGGATGAAGCTCTGATGTGTTTTACCTGCTCGATGTTCGTGTGAAGCACGGCCGGTCGTTGACAGAGGGAACTGCCTCATCCATCAGAGGATAAGATTTGATGAAAGTCAACATCTCATCTGGGAACTGAACCGAAGATTTGTAGTCTGAGGCCGGACCGTCGCCTGCACAAGTACCAGGTCTGGGAATAAAAAAAAAAAAAAACCTTTACACTCAGCAATCTTACAATTTGATAACATTTGAATCATGCACACAATTTTTTAGTACCTAGATTAATGTTTCTGGTTTCTCTGATTTGTAGAGAAAGCCCTCACCTTGGTCTGGGAACTTGTTCATCTGGCACTGGAGTCCAGGATGAGTCACTGGTTCTTTGCTCTTTGAATTTCCCGTTGAAGACTTTCTCAATGTCGTCCATGTAAAACGCACAAACTGCTGAGCCTGGTATGCTGGAGACACGCAGGAAATAATGACAGCAGGTATCAAGTTAATTAATCTTAATTTCAGTCAACACAGAAATGAAGAAAAGTTAAGTAAGAGGAGTTGAGCAATTTAAAATCTTCCTTTGTTTTGACTGAAGAAGGAAAACTGTTCAATGGCCCATTAACAGACTCCCATTTGTTACTTTGTTCTTGGGTTTAGTAAAATAAAACCATCATTTGGATTTTACTAAACATACTTCTTGTTATTGTGAGTATAATATAATGTGGCTCGTCTGTTTGGGTCTGTTGGTGCTGATTCTGAAGCTTCCTTGTTGTTTGGCAACCTGTTGGCCCAGGACGGCCGCAAAAACCTAACAATAACCCAACTGTCCCGCACCATGATGGCCAGCAATCAATGCAGCATTTCTGACTCATGCCAGAATCCATTTAGCAATTTAAAATTTATATTTCCACAATGGCAACGCAATCCGACATTGGACTGACTACTCTACCCACTGAGCCACATTTGCCTTCGTAAACTCAATTTTTATAAAATAAGCTGCAACTAATGAGGTCAGCCTCATGGATTATTATAAGTATTCTGAAAATGGAAGGAAAAGAAAGAGAGCAGAGTAAAAAAGGAGCCAAGGGGATTAATTAATTGAAAATGGCAAGGGAAGAGACATTCCAAGAAAAACCTGTACATATTTTTGCAAAGACAGTCATGTAAAGCTGTACCTGAGAAGACCCCGTTTGACATGTTATTATCCCTGACCCAAATCTTAACAGGGACCCAATTTCTTTGTGAAATCTTTAAGTCCCGAGAGTAAGAACCTGGGTACCGCGTTCCTAGTTTTTAAATGATGTCCTCATTTCCATAAATGTCGAGTGAAAGAAATGTGTCTGCTTTCCAACAATAACCCCACACACCCTTCTAACAAAAATCTGCACATTTAAAAATGGCCCTGCATTTCCAAATGACCTCCTTAACAGTTAGAGTACCGTTACTTTTTTAATTCAACAAAAACTAATCCAATTTTCTTTTATTTGGAAGAAGGATGTAATAAAAAAAAAGCATGCACCAGTCTTCTAAAACATTTTCTTGCATAATTTTCCATTAACTCTCCACTTTGATAAAATTGTCTTAATTTTCTGTCCACTTTCCAAAATTATGCTCAAGGAAGGGTGGCTTAAAACAAATTTTAGAGCTGAAGACAGCCATGCATACTAAAACTATTAATTAACAGAAATCTCAAAAACATGAGTTTTCTCACCAAAGTAACTTACTTCCTGTAAAATGTCCTTTATGAGCTTACCTGTTGGACTGAGTGGTAAACACTCCAACAACTGCTGGCCTCTGGTTGATCTGCAGCACGTTGGTGAGAGACTGAAGAACGTCGAAGTAGAAGAAGGAGTCGCCCGGAACCGAACAGTTCAACCGAGCCTGAAAAGACAAACCGATTTACAGATGGAAATATTCGGAAGTGTTGCAATCATCTTAGATATCTTCAAGCACTAGTGTTAGCATATTTACACTATTTGGGTATGAAACTGTATCCTTTTGCCATGGGTATGCATCACAAGAGCTGTCCAAAAGTAAAATAGTAAGAAAGAAAAACATCCTCTGAGCCGCACTGCATCCAAAACTAGAGATTCCTTAACCAAAACAATAACATTTTACAAAAAGAACAAATCAGAGCTACTCCAACATGCTGCTACAATGCGTGGTTCAATTCTAGCATTTTTATAACTAAGATATTTATATGCACACAGCTGCATCATGACATATTAATGGAACAGGGGCTAAGAAAATCACCAACAGAAATCAGAAATTGGATTTCATTCAGGCGTCTGATCCAGGTCATCTAAACGAGATATTTCATCCCAACTCTGATCTGAAACTTCCGCTCAAGAAAATCACCTTCAGGAAGGAAGTCCAGTATCTTTCCAGAACTCTGGGTGATCCTCCGTTATCATTCTTACATACACGCGCGACTCGAGAAAACACAACCTGAGGAAATTAAAAGGAAAAAAAAAATGACGGCGGTTAGACATTGCGAGTAGCTCATTTAAATTCATTTTTAAAAAAATAAGTCTTACTGCTTTCAGGATTACAAAAAACACACCAAGCTACTGTTTAAAAAGAATTTATCAAAATACAAACTAATTTTTAGGGTTTGTTTCTGTTTCATTGTTTTAAAAAGTTTCAACCATCTTGTTTCATAATGAAAGAGAATTTTCACACATGCATGTACCTTGCCCAAGGCTGTGTACTCCACTGCGATCTCACTCAGGAAAAAGTAGACATAGTTACCATAGTCAATGGCATGCAGGAAATGAGGCTCTGCAGAAAGGAAAAGAATAATCATCCGTTTCATCTATTTTCAAGGTGCATTTTTCTCTAACATTTAAGCTTTGTTTCTGTTATTCAAATCATCAGGTTGGAAAAGCCGGTTCTACGTTTTCCAGAATCCTTTTCAGAAACGAAGGACAAGAAATAAAATATACAATATTGGGAGAATAAATTAAAAGGATTGTCTTGTGAAGGACAAATTGACACTTGGAATCCTGCCGTCTGTCTTATACAGTGAACAGATTCATTATTCCTCAAGTCTGGCAGGGGATCGCTAATTTTAATTTATCAGATGGACCAACAAAGGGACGATGTTAATGTGGCCATGACACTTATGAGTTTTAAGATCAACTAGGTCTTAAACCTTTATAAATAGGTTTCAACGATCATTCAAAGCATTTAAAACGCCTCACTCTAAACGCCAACAATACAAGTTGTGTCTTCATTTGCTTTCCATGGAGGTTTTAATAGAATATTTTTCCAACATTAAATCAGAGGCTCAGCTTTGGTTTCAGTAGGTTTACATCATAGGTGCCTGTTGTGAAGATCTGCAACATCGCGAGGGAACATACAGAGCATCTGTAGAAGTCACAGACTTTAGGGAGGCATTGACTACAAAGAATATTTCACACAACTGGTAACCATTGCAATTTATTCTGTTAAAAGCTGTGAATGAGCTTTAAAGGCTTTTATACTGATGCAATTGTATTCAAATTAGAGAAAATAGCTTGTATTTTAAATGTAGTATTAAGTTGATACATGCTGCAGGCTGTATTGCTGAAAGGTGTGGCGCCTAAATGCGATGAAGTTATTAAAGATCAAAAATAAAACGTTGCCGATGGTGAAGATGATTCCAGCCATGAAGTGATCAAAGTCATGTTTCTACAAAATACCTCGCAGCCATTTGGAGTCGTATTTGACGGTCCTGAGAACTGGTCGGCCGTCGCCCAGGCTTCTGTAGATGACAGCATCGCTTGCTAGAAAGTCTGTCATGGTGGCCGAATAGAAATCTCCCCCTGCAAACAACGGGGCATTTAATTGACAAATTAAAATGAGAAAAATGATTCTAAGTACTATCTCTTACAGGTAATTAAATGTCTAAGACAAATGAATGCTTCATTCAAAGGCTAAGTATTTAACTTTTCTAAATTACCACCTAAAACTTGGGGATGTTGTGATCAAAGCTAGTTTTCATCCCCACGTTTTATTAAGCACATAAGTTAAGAACTTCCATTTTGGTCTCACCAGACCAGAGCACCTGGTTCTGATTGATTTATGTGCTGCATATATGGCTAATATGTCACTGCAGCATGTAAAAGTATTAGAAACCCAGTAAGTACGAATACTTTTACCAGCAAACAATCCAACATTGGACTGGATGGACTCAAACGGACAGCGAGCCTGGCCCACCACTTCCTCCCCAACCTGCTCCAAGGAGGTCATCTGAACACGAGAGAAAGAAAATCACATTTCTGCCCATCCGTCCACAAAGTAAACCAAGAAACTCAACACTTTAAGATAATAGAAACATTAGTTTTAGTTTGATCTTTTGGAAAGAATTTGCAAATAAGATAATAGCATTAATCTGCTGCCGTCAGTCAGTGTTCAATGTACAATATTGGGTGCTACTATTTCATACATCTTATGCTTCATCCTTCCATGATGAAATAAGACTGACTGTAACAGCATTTCAAAAACAAAAGGTCACCGTTTAAAATGGCTCCTTCAGTAACAAATCCCTCTAAGTTATTTGGCACACACTGCAGACAAAAAATAAAAATCCATCAGGAATCTTAGCATCTGTTTGCTAACAAAGGACAAGTTTGTGACTGTGATAAGGTTCTGTTTTATATATTTGGGTTAATTATCATGCTGCTAATATTCAGGCCGGCCTGATGAAACTTCGATATCACCTCAGAGTCCTCCTGGCAGATGTGCCGACAGCAGTTTTCTGAGTGTGTTAGCTGAATCTCTAACAGAGAGAGTTTAGCCTCCTGAGAAGCCTCATAAATACACCTGTCTGCTATTTTCTCCCTTGGGGAGCTGAATCCGTTTCGAGCTGCAAATGCTGAACTCCCCGATGTTTCTGCCAACCTACTTTGCCGCTTTAATTCCTAATCCAGCCCTGGCTTATTATACTTCCTTTTTAAAATCGGAGCAGGGCTTTGTTGCTTTCGTACATACCTTTACAATTCTTTTTTGGATTTCTACAGTCTCCTAACTTTCCAACTCAAGAGATTATCTGGATTTAACCTAAAACCCAAGTCAATATTTAATTAATGTCATTTTTTTCTTTTTCTTTAGTGTTTATTTCCAACAGTCTCGGCTCAACAGCCACACACAGAGTAAATAGACCCTAATTTCCACCAGTATTATTGTTCATCGTCTGCTGCTGTTGCAATAGCTTGGAGACATTGATGTTGATGAATTAAAAGCCCTCCACAAGACTAGGGCAGGCCATAGGAGCCCACATTTATAATGACTTGCTGGCCTGCATAAACAACTCTTAAAGGGATTTGGATCATCATGGCCTCAATACAAAGAGAATATATAAAATTATCTCCAAAAATATCTTACATGTTGATTTGGAAGATTGTAATTGTTTTAACTCAGAACACAATGTTTCCTAGAGTTACTACATTTTAATGCATAAGAATTCAAAGGTGTCAAACATACAAGCTAAGCTTTGAAATCATTCAAGAGTTTGCAGTTTCTCTAAATTCCTAATGTCTACTTTTAGATCCAAATGCTTCAAACCGGAATAAAAGCTCCTTTTCTTCAGGTGAACATGTTTTTTTTTCTCCTCCACAGCAGGAGATTTCAAAGGCCGAGAAGTTTCTGCTAAACAGGGTCATAAGCTGTCAATCAAACCTGCAGCACTGCGGTGGAAGGGTAAAAAAAGAAACCGCCGCTCCTGAGTGGCAACTGGGATGGTGGGATTTGTGAAAGTTTGTTTGGTTTTGACGAGGCAGCCAATTATGAGTGAGGGGAAACTCCGTCAGAATCAAAGGCATCATGTCTCTGAGACAGATGTCCTGCTTGTTATCTAAAACATGGGAGGCAAACGGGGCTTGTAAAGTGAACAGCTGAGAGAGTAATGGCTATGACTGAAAAAAAACAATGAAATCACAATAATCTCTTGGTGGGTTTTAACACAGAGAATTAAATAAAATACACAAATGGCAGAAACAGCAGGATTTTCACTCATAAAGTCACAAGATAGAAAGAAACAAAAGAATAGTTAGAACTTGAATTCTGTCTAATTTGGTTCATGAGGTCCTAACTGATCTAAACTCTCTATTCATGTTGATATAAAATTCGTAAATTAAGTTGCACCCGGAGCGTTATCCGGATCGTCATACAGCTTTTTTCTGCCACTTTATAAAAAAATCCACCCATTTTTCTAAATCCACCCATTTTTCTAATCATCCAAAGCTCTTGAAATGCAATAAATATAATTATGATCAAACAAATCTTTTCCTAAACATTAGAAGTGCTTTTTGCAATTCTAACCCAGCCTTGTCAACACATTTTACATACAACTTCCTACAAGACATTGGAGGCCAATGCAACTGCAAACCACTGCTTGGGATGCCACTTCTACTCGACTGGGATTTATTAAATCATAATCCTTTTAATCCCTGAACCAAATAAACATTAAAAAAATTAATGAAATTAAATAGTTATTAGGATTTCTGTTTCTCCTTTCTGATAACTCAATATTTAAGACCCAGGAGTTATTTCCCACCATTTCAGCCTGGAAACTATCAATATTTATTGAGCTGGGAAAGAGCTCTCACAGAATGAATAAAAATGTGCTGGAAAAAAAAGAAAAACACCTGTGGGGTTTTTCAAATGCCCTAACGAGGAAGAGCGCATGTCTGAGGAAAATGTTTTACCTTGTAGTTCCGGCAGGTTGGGTTGAAGGCATTAGTACCACAAGCAAACAAAGTCTCATCGTTCCGAGGTACCAGAACTTTGACGTAGTTATAGCACTCATCCTGAAACACAAGCGTATATTAGAAAATATTCTTACCATGAAATTAAACCGTAGAGTATAATTGTTGAAGGCAAAATCTGGAAAACGTAGAGAGATCAAAAACTCACGCTGTTCTTTCCTCTGACTGTACACTTGCTGACGTCTTTGGATCTCCACGTCAGCTTCTGAAACAAGGCAAACATTCGCTCAATAACGGTAGACTTTCTCTGGAGCTTTGCCCGGTGAAATCAGTTGATTAGAAATAACAGCAGCTGCACTGATGAGCAGGAAGAAGATGAGTCATATGTGACTGCAGAGCTGCAAACACTTCAGGTCAATCAGGGAGGCAGCTGTTGATTCTGCAGCTCAGGTAAGCGTTGGTAGACTTCAAGAGAGAAGTTTTCCCATTATTCTGTTACTGGTTACGAATTGAACCGTTCAAGCAGTTTATAATAAGTTTGTGATTTCTCGGCTCTGTGCAGTGAGAAGCTTCCCTCCTTACCTGCTGCCTTGTGCTATCGAATCAATTGAATAAAAAATACCAGATCAAATTTCTTTAAAGCTTAATTTTTATAACCACTGAAGGTAATATAATCCTAATTTTGGTGTAAAATATCACTTTCTAAAAAATGTATAACACTCTCCTTTTAACCAACGTATACCTTAAGTCATGCTAACATTTATGCTTAAATTCATGATATCACATATCACCCAGTGACTTATCCCTGCATTTGAAGGCAAGAGTGAGAAATCAAGATCTGGACATTTCTAGAATATAAAGTTCCAGCCAAATATTCCAGTTTTAAAAAAAGATGGATGGAATTTTATCTAGTTCAAAAGCATTTTGTTTTTCCGATTACAGATTTTGTTCTCTTGGTAAAAGAGAGATAATGTAGTGACATTGCCAATCAAGTCAAGACAAACTTTTTTTCTAGAAGCATGAGTTTTACCATAATTAAACCCACTGAGAAGCAAAACAAACATGTTATTGTAAACATTTTAAAACATAGGGAGCTCAAGAATTCCCAAATAAAGAAGAAAAACATTTCTATGAGACCGAGAGGGCATACGCACAGAGACGGAGCGGGATGCGCTTCTCAGATGCACCACTGGGATCGAATCAGTGGTAACGAGTGTAACATCTCACTTCAAAGAGCTGCAGTGAGCCCACCATCCCACAATACACTAGAAGGCCTATTACTGTCAGAAGCCACCCTGTAACCTTTTCCCTTTGATGAAGAGGAGGTGTGAAGATCAAAGGAAGCTTGTCCTTTGTGCTGCCTCAAATATTACAAGCCGCTTTAGTTTTGTTTTTCCGCCCTGATATTTAATAGATCTATTGTGCAATAAGGAAAAGGGTTCTTTGCTGCATTGTCAGCTGTCAGCTCTAATGCTGCTCTCTTCGCCCTGAGAGAGATAACCTTATGTAAGACTAAAAATCAGAAGCAGAAGCTCATATATGAAGTTCACTGAACCGTCTGAAATGAACAAGTCTATTAATCATTGCTTGCATGCATACGTGGATATATTAACCTTAAAACGTTACTATGAAACTTACTATGAATGCAGAGTTTTAAAAATGGAGCTCAGCACAGTTGAGTTAAAAGCGGCGTGCCACCTGGCTCTGTCCTCGGTACAAGTCAGTATATCATTTTTGCTTCCATGATCTGAATTATCGAAACTTTATGTCTGCATTCTATTTTATTTTCATTTTTCTATGCTGAAAGAAATAAATAAAAGTTCAGCTTCACTTGTAATAGCAACTAAATATCTCTTTAAATTGAACATAGAATGGATTTGGTACATAACTTCAAGTCATGTGTACTTTGTTCTTTCACAACAATTCCTGTCAAACAAAATATGTTTTAGCAGCAGAGGAGATGTTGGATATACTTCAAAATAAAGTTACTCTTAACTTTCTTAATCTCACACATTCAGTTCTTTCAAAGCTTATTCCAAGTGTTTTTAAACACCTTTGACCAACACTGAAGGAGAAAATAATGACTTTCAGGGTTAATAAAATAAAACTGAATACTTGCAGTGCTGTTACTTTTTTGGAAAATAAAAAAATATAAACTGAATCACAAACTAGAAAATATATATATATATATACAAAAAGGGTGAAATACATCTGCGGGGGCAGATAGAGGTACACAGTCAAAGTAATTCTGACATCAAGAATACTCGATGCAGACATGTTTGTGATCTCTTGCAGCAACAGATCCAAAAATAAACTGTTTATCGTAAAAATTTACTCACCAGCTGTGGAACAAACTCCTCTGATGCCGTCGTGAGGTTCACAGCAAACACATGATCCCTGAAGAGTTCAAAGCACAAAGTCAGGCCTCACCGCACACACTCACTCAGATTTACCGAATTATGAAGAAGGTGCTGCTTCAGACGCATCATATATAAATGCTTCTATATGTGGAAGGTTGTTTTTAGCAAAATCCAATACTGTTTGCCATCTTCCTTGTTCTAGTGGCAGTAATAATAATAATAATAATAGGACCTGGTTGTTTGGTCCCCCTTTGTATCTATACTAGTTTTAACTTTACCTTTCCTTTGTTTTTCGTGTCTGAATATGAATATTTATCAAAATCAGAGAATAATCATATTATTAGAATGTGTTCCAATAATGTACAATGCATCTTGTCTATTGCATTTTTGTTAGTCAGTTTTTCTTTAGTCAGTAACTACATGTGAGCAGGAAGATGCACTTTAGATGAGGCTTGTGGATGCCGTGTACCTCTTAAATTATAATAATTTTTTGAGATAGGCAGAACAGACCGAGACAGAGTGTACTATAAGTCTTACATGTCAAGTGGACTTAATGGTGTTTGGTAAATTACATAAACTGAGTAAAATCTGTTTGCGCTCCAATGCTTCATTATATCATAATTTTAAGGAATGTGACTTTACAAATGAGAATACTCAGACAAGCCAAACTAAACTACACTAAAGTACTGATTGAATCATTAAAAAGGGCAATATTTTATTATGATAAGTTTACCTTAATGATACATCTCAATCAAGATATACAAAAAATGAAACATGTTATGGTTTGTTGAATGTAGATATTCAGTACAGGAATACTATGAGTCGAGTGCAATTAGCATTAATGCGAACTGCTTCACTTCTGACCAACCAACCTTGCTGCAATGTAAAGAACGTGATTGATCCTCAACATTCTCTGAAAGTCCAGACCCAGGCGCAACGTGTCGTTGTCCTGCAGCAGACCCTGAAAGCCTGGATACTGGTACGACTCTGCAAACAATTCAACATTTAGAAATGTCACTTATCAGCTTATTTCTTTGAAACAGTCTCAGAACAAAGAGACTGCATTTTGATTTTAAAAATAAAATATGGTAAACTACATATTTATACACTGTACTTGGATCAAGGTTTGATATTAAATCGGACTAAATGTTCTCCACCTTTATATGAGATGTAATCATGAAATATATAAAGAAATTTTTATTTTTATTCAAACTTAGATTCTTACATTTTAATCAACATGAATTAAGTCAAATGTTTGGCTATTTGTTGCCAGACCTGTGGAGGTCCAAAATGTTCTTCCTTATATCTCAATATTTCTTAATTCAACAATGAGTTCAAATGTCTTTTTTAAAAATATAACATGCCTGCTTTCGTATTATCCTCATGGATTCACAACGGGTATAAAAAGCATATTAATCTTATTTTACATAAACTTCTAAATATGAGAAGTTTTTTTTTTAAAAGTAATACAGTTTTTCATCATTCTTGTAGAAATTTATTGTAAAAACAGGAAACATTTACTCAGATTTAATATCAGACAAAAACAAAAGGTTATTTGTCTTTTTACAGTGTATGACAGTGATTTTCATTTTTGTTCTGAAATGAATTATTGGTGACTGCAAATTGTTTAATGACCACATCAATAAGGTGTAGATATGAACCAGATACAGATAAATTTAGCAGCATCAAAAGTTAGCAATGAGCCAACTTGTCATCAAGACCAACACGGACTCTGAGGGATTCACTCACGCTCCGAGCTGACGACATGGAGTGGCTCCAGGTCTTTGGGGAAGGACGTGGTCGAGGCCGACACAGACAGAAAACACGAACGAAGCTCGAGGATCGTCAGCAGCAACGGCAGCCGCCACAGCCAGCCGGTCGGGGCCATTTTCATAAGAGACCTTGAGGATTAAGGAGGGTGGAGGAGGTCGGCGTCAGTGGGTCATCGCGAACATCCGCTGTGAGTAGACAGAAAAAGAAAGGAGGGTAAGACTCTCAAAAGGAAGACGGAAAGCTTCCTTTCTCTCCTGAGGGAATGGGTTTCGTCTGCAGCTATAAATTAGAAGAAATTAGCATTTCACCCTGCGTTAACCGATACAACCACAGTGCAAAAGCTGCAGTCATTTACAAGCATTAACATACTGATGGCATGTTGGAGTCACCACAAAGAGACACTTCTATCATGATGAAAACAGAGCATTGCAGTTTTAAAGGAACTGGTTCATCAGCAAAGACTCGGATCAATCGTTTTCACATCCAGTGTTTTCACAGAATCAAAGCGTTGAGCCGCTTGTCGCACAGACATCAGAAGTCTGGAAGTTTATTTTGATAACTTCAGCTGAGCTGCGTTTCCTTTATTTCGATTTTGCTCGTTTTAGGGGAACGGCTTCAAAATCGAATGTTAAGACCTCAATTATTTCAGTTTCTGTTGAAATCCTCTGAACCAAAGTTGTATTTTAAAAAGCTCCTTTAACTTGCTCTGATTTCTAATTAACACTCATCGAAACCTCAAGGCAAGGTCAGATTATCACATCGTACAACTGTAACACCGGAGAAATAAATTAGTTGAATTACCAAGGTTTTCATGGCTTCTCACTTCTTATTTTAATCTATTTTTACCATTTTATTCATCAATTATATTCTAAAATGCATTATTAATATACATTTGGAATAATTGTTACTTTTTTCCTTATGTGTTCTTGTCATTCATGTTGCTCCATACTAAATTTCTGGCTCCTCTATTTCTTTCTGTCTGACTTTTTCAGCTCCTTGTTTCTTTTATCATCTGCCAAAGTGACAAAGGAGAGCATGAAGGTGACACACTTCCCTCTCGTCCCCTCTTCAATCACCTTCTTTGTGTCATCTCCTCAATCTCTTGATTTGTTCTGTCGTATGAAGTGACAAATGAAAAGAAAAAAGTGAACTCAAACATGGCAAAAAGAAAAAAACAATTTTCTCCTCATCATCCTCAAAGGAAATGCACAGTCGGAGTAACGACTTGCTTTTTCTCCACCCATTTGCGTCCTTTTCCATTTTGATCTGAAAGCATCATCAGTTATGTTGTCTGGACTTTTCTTGCTTACGTTTCATCTCAAACTACAGAAGATCCAAGCTATTCTTAATGTCATCCACTTGATTTATTCTGTGTGCGTTGAATGGGAAAAGGTGGGAAGAGCAACAATGGGAAAAGCATCAGAAAACACACATCAAGTAGGTAATGGGAAGTAATGTGGTAATTCTACCCTGGAACCATGAGATTGACCAAGATCATCTTGGCAACGGTAGAAATTTGGTATTTTGTTCAGTAAAAATGATACTGCTTTGAAAAATCCCTCAGCGCAGCGCTGATATCTTGTTTCAAGCCGTGCACCTTTGATAAAACGGCTTCTGTGATCTGATGATTGCTGGAAATCTTGTACTGGAGCTTTGTGGCTTCGCAGCGTTTGAACAAACTGCTGGTGGTAATAACCATCTTTCACTCTCCCTGTTGACAGTTTAGCAGAGGCCGCTTCCCTTTTTTCGCCCCTCTAGCTGCTTTTTATTGGTTTTATACATGAGACAATTTAAGAAATTAGCTTTAGACTGAATTCTATTTTGCAAAATCTCATTCAGTCATCACTGGTAGATTTTCTTCTTTCTAATGAGATCATGTTGTGATATATAATCTGGGAAACAGAAAGTAGCTCAATAGCTTTGTGAAGTAATTTAAATGATTGAAATACAAGAAAAAAATATTTATTCAAGTCTCCCAGATATAAAATAATTTAACACTAATATCCAATAAAAGTGATTCCCACAAGAAACCCTGTAAAATGAAAAAAAAGAGAATGAAACAGTTCCATCTGTTGTGGAAAAAAAAAGTTCATTAGTTTTAAATTTGAAAAGAAATTCGTCAGCTAAAACTACACATTTTACAACTGCAAAGTGATGAGGCCTGTGAGCTTATTCCATCTGGCCCATGAAGTATTAATTTGCTCATAAGTCAAATTTAGTCCAACACAGTAATTAGTCCGCTTGCTCGCATTACATAATTAGGGCTTATTGTGCACACTGGTGTGCTTCATTAACTAGTGGTGTCCAGGTCTGTTCCACAGTATTGCACATCATTGCATTTTTAATAATCTGTGTTGGCTCCCTTATATAAACTCAACTCCTTATACCAGTAGCTTGAGTTGTGTTTGTGATTTTCAGCCATGTAGGTGCAATTTGCACCACCAGCTTTTTAGCAATTACAGCATATTTTCATTTAAACAGATACTAACAGCCTTATAGATTTCACACATTTTGTCTTGCATAAGTGAATCCATATATTTTTTAATTAAGCAAAATGTTTTTAACCCTTTGAAATGATGTTCCCAGTTCAAAAGAGAAATATGGCAACCTTCGTGCAACAACTGCAACAGGAGTACACTTCACATGTGTGAAGTCCAAGCAGCGCTTCACTGCTTCTGGTCTTCCTTCGCCATTTACCATTATACAACTAAAATCTACTGCTACGTGAAATATCATCAAAGAGGTCGGTCTGATACAAAAAGGCATCAGTTTAAGCTTAGCATTGGTAAATCCATGCAACTAGTGAACAGAATTAGCATTGATGTTATTAGCATTAGCAAATACAAGCTTTGTAAGTTCCCAAAGACTTCTCAAAAACTCTGGCTGTCAGGAAAGATGCATTTAGATTGTCAAATTGTAAAGAAATCATCTAACATGCAAATATTCTTCAATGTACAGTCAAATATTACTGGTCCTTAGGAGGCTTTGCTCTCTCAGAGTAATGTTAAATACATATAAGTAATTTAGTGCAATGCAAGAAAAAGCAGAAATATACAAAGAGAAACTTGGAGGATGAATTGCATATTTATCATTAAAAATAAATTAATTTATGACTAAGCTCTGTAGGATGAGTGTGTGTGTTTTATTCCTTCAATCACTAATTGGTTGCTGTAAGCTAAATCAGCCATGATGTCAATTCTCATTCAACAAGACGAAGCAAAGTATGAGCACCATCTGACTAGTCACTCAGTCAGTCAGTAACGCTTGTACAGCTCAGAGCTCACCTTGGAGAAGAGTTGGCTTTATTTAGTCCTTGATCCGTCTAAAGCCGCGTCCCATTTCTTATGTGTAATTTGCACCTGGATGTGTACTGCTGCATGGGATGGACGCATGGAAAACTTTCCAGTCAGTCGAGACATTATAATGCATCGATGACCTCCAGGTACGCATGTTTGATTCTACAACATAATGTGAGCTCATGTCTATTTTTGTCATCTATATACAAATTTCACTCTTTGCCACTTTGGTTCTGTAGATTTGTCAACAAATTCAGAGACAGCGTGCATGCAACTTGCATACAATTAACAAAAAGTAAGGAGTTAAAATAGCAAAAGATTGAATGTAAAAGGTAAAGTATATGATTCACTGTGTGAGACATACACATATAACTGTGGCAATTATGCCATAAAAATCTTGATCTTTTCATGTACACATCGAACAGGTCTCTGCTGCATTATGTGTTATTACAGCAACATTTCCAACATTAGCATAATACCAAAGAAAGCTCAGAGTTGCTCCAGTTCATGCCATTTTAACAAGCAGAACTGCTCCAATGCAAATAATTCCCTAAAATCCATCAAAGGATCCAAAATGCTGCAGCCAAATTGGTCTCTTCTGTATTCGCCTCTCAAGATTAGCTTTCATGTACAATCTACAAAAAGATCATTCAATTAAAATTCCTTCAAGGTGTTGCCACTCAGTTTTCTTAATTGTGCTGCTTTAGCACTTAGAGTTACATTTTCTTACGGTAAATTAAAAAAAATAAAAAAAACAAAGAGGTTAGTTAACAGTTAGCCTTGACTTGTTTGCAAAGGGAAGACAGTGACATTAAATGACTGATGCATATTTAAATCAGAAGTCTGGGATTACTTAGAAGATTGGGGTTCTGTGGTGAGGTTATCAGCAACAATCATCTGATCTAATAGACGGCTCTTTGAATATCTTGAGCTTGGATAGTTGATGGTTATTTTTTTAACTGTAGACCGCACTGGATGGCTGTCTGCATATGCACAATGTGAAAAACACACATAACTAATGTTCCAATCCTAAGAAAAGGTCATAAGCTGTTTGTTTTTTTGACTGAAAACACTAAATCCTTGATGCAAGAGCCTCAGATAAGCTTCCTCCACGGGGTGGACAGACTCGAACCTAGAGACGATGTGTCACAGTTTCTCTCCAGGATCTATTAATTTCACAAAGCACTCCAATGCAGGAAGGATACAACTTTGGTGTGAACTTGGAAGCACGCAGGATATATTTTATACAGCCTTAGTTATTCTCATTATGAATCTGCCCCAGGCTAAAGCCAGTTTGTATCTTCAAACAAATGTTGAAATTGAACAGGAGGATTAAATGCCACATACTAATAGGACTTCCTGAATGTCTACCGGTAATTAAAAAACAAAACAAAAACTGCTCTTTTGCTTGGCGTTTCTACAAGAAAAATGTGGTGATGATATAAGTGCACTGACAGCACATTTAAAAACAGAAGAATCCAAGAGATTCTTGGCTTTTCCAGTTTTAAACATTTTAGTTTCTCATAAAGATGCAAGAGTCTAAAATCCAAGCTCTTCCAGCCTCTCATGTGGTGGTAAAGCTTTGAACAACCTTTGTTTTCTTCCTTTAAAAATCTTTTGTCAATCCCCGTCACTCAACCAGTAACCCATTTGGATAATTGAAACATCTTGTTCTTCCTTTTCCTCGCTGCATGTTTTCTGCAGTCGGAACATGAGCGTCTTATTTGGCAGAGACGATCCGTCATCTGAACTGCAGAGCTAATGTGCCACACAGGGTTCAAACAAGAACACCAGACTCTGCAGTGATGTACGGTGATTTATAGAAAAGGCCAATATCGAGATTTGATCATAAATCTGATCTGGTTTGGCTGCTGTAGTACGCCCACTGA